CTATTGCCTATAATTAAAGCTGTGTTTGCTGCAAATAATATTCTATGAAACCTTTCCTCCCCTTATCTCATTTATTTAAGCAATTCTCTTTACTGTCTGCCATACAATTCTTGTGATATTAGTTCTGAGAATTAGGTATTGGGACAACTACTAATCCATACTTTTCTTCATTCTTATCACTGCTGATATTGTATTAATGTATTGATAACATCAAATTGCTTTGTGGCTGCCAGATTGTGATTTTCGACTGATTGCCAAATGCTTGGCAAAGACTTGAACATTAGGTGAGGTTTACACCCTTGGCTTCTTCACTTGATGATGAGAACTGTCCACAATATTGTCTTCCAACTCCTTGTACCTGGCTGTTAGTGGGTTGTAGATGTTCTGAGCATCACACAAGGGCTCTGCTACTTTTATATAAGGTGGTGCTCCACTAACCACATCCATAAAAGACCTGCCATTACTACGCTCCCAGCCATGCTTAGCACGGTATGCACAACCCAGACAAGCTGAATTGGCTGTATCTTGGATGGCAAAGACAGGAGCATAAAACACATCAGCTATTACTTGAAGTATGGCAAGATTTGATGATGCACCTCCTGTTGCAAGTATGCGTGTAGTTGAACCTAACAACAGAATAATAACGAAATTATAGCCTTGCTGTGTAGGGGTTAGTTTGGTATATTCCCCAGAAGATAATCAAAACAGCCTTATTTTATTAAGCATTCTCCAATTGACTCAAGCTCAGCTTCAAATGTTCCACTTTGACTACTTTTCATTTGACTAGCTTTATTGCAGTTGTGCTACTCAAAATACACATTAGTTGAACAAATTTGGTGTTAAATCAAGACAACAACTTCTGTCTCCTTAACGTTTGAGTATTCTCATAACCTCTTTGCTGGATTAAGTATGGATATTACAGACCAGGATAAGTTACATGTTAATCACTTCTGGGAGTTGAAGGGTTAAAAACAAACAAGAATACAGAGCAATAATAATCATTTTACTAAATAAGTGTATTGAGGAACACAATGATAATCTGAGATCGTACTATTTACCTAATGAGTACCCTAGGGCTTCTGCATGAGCTCTCTTAGCCATGATCTGTCCCTCAACAAGTGCTCTCACTTCTATTTCTTTTGAAAATGAATCAACTCTTTCCCCCTTATCATTAAAACGATGAATTCCAACAGCAAAAGGTGTTATTTCTGTGGCTGCAAAATAGATGCCAATGTTTCCTTTATTGCCACGATCAGTGTTCTTCAAAGCTTTATTGAAAATTTCCCAGGAGTTGTCTGCTGAAGAGTCTCGTATGGACTCTCTTGTCAAGGACCCATTCTTGAAACAGAGAAGAGCCATGTAGGCATTTTCTACAAGGAAGAAAAATATATTTTCAGATTTTCACACTGTTGCCTTGCTGGGAAAGAAATACAGATGATAAAAATGATTTAGTAGTTTTGCTTTCATTCTACAAAAACTTTTGACAGTGTTACTAACAGTTGCAAGTAAAAAAGTCATAAGCAAAATTAGAGTTGGCCATTTCTTGCAGGATAAATGATATAAGTCACATTATCTACCATGAGATGTTTGTTACACAAACAATCCAGTATTTTTCTTTATTTGTTGTAAATGAAAGTAATAATAATTGATAAACTTATATAGTACGTGCTACATGACATAATGATCATGTGTGCAAAAAATATAAAACAACCATAATAAACTAAGCAGATAAAATATGATAAAAAACCTAGAATCACTGAAAAATTATACAAATGAAATGCTATAAAACAGAAGTTAAGACTAAAATCATGTAAAAACTGATATGGCTTAAAAATTGCTGATACCATAAGAAAAAATACTATTTAAAATTTTACAGACATCAGGAAAGCACTAATTTAAAATCATGGGTCTGAGGCAAACATTTAAAATTGCCAAAAGTAGAGGCTTATTTTATTTCAGTTGGAGGTGAGTTCCAAACTTTTGGTGCAGCCATGCTAAAAGAGTAAATAATCACCAATTTTTGCATAAGACTTACATAATGGATTATTTCAGTGACTTTCTTTGGTGGATCACAAAGAATAACTTGTTCCATACGTATAGTAGAGGTAAGATCAGTTATGTAGGACCATACCAAGCCACATATGGCCTTATATTTTAAAAGCACTATTTTGAAATTAATCCCTATGTGAATGGGTGACCAATGAAGCTTCATAAGGAGAGGGATAGCAATTTGTTAATTAACTATTTGTATACATCTCCTCCATTGCTTGAGAAGGACACATACATTTTTGGAAATCCTTACAAAAAGCTTTCAATATGAAACATTGAATGCAAACTAAATCAAATATACAATACCTTCAATTGGATTGACAAATATATGCCCCTCTAGGGCAGGCTTGGGAGTTTTGAAACATAGCATGAGTGTGTCACTGGTACCCAGACTCAATGCAATGTCCCCTTTGTCTAGCCTCATCCCGGCTAAAGAAGCAGGATTGTCACCGGTGAATGCCACAACCTTACAATCAGGACTGAATCCATATTCTCGCACCATGTACTGTGATATATGGCCAATTATTTCATAGGAAGGTACCAAGTCTCCAAGCTTCTCCCTCAAATTTGGTGCACACGCCTGCCCAAAAATAACAAAAAAATTGGACAAAGATTCCACATTGATCAATTGCAATTTCCAAAGTCTGTTCCAATCTTCTACAATTTGAAGTTACATTGGGTACAACTGAACCATTTTTTACACAATCACTACAAAGAAAATCTGGTTGGATAACAAAATTGTCATCACTACCCACTATATGGAATTTGAATTTGATGCTCATCAAGCAACTATCCTATTTTTCTCCAAAATTTGTCCTTAACTCTTTTTCATTTGTCAGGTCAAAGAGTGGTAAACTAAAATGGAAACCAAGGGAAAAACTGGTGTAAGGCTGCTTGGTTAGCACTTATGGTGAGTGAATCTAGATGAAACTAAGAATTTGTAAACTGGTGCACCTCCAAAGGGTGGTAAAGTTGTTCTACATTATGCTTTTTCACTTATTTCCATGTACAGGCTCTAAATGCTTGGTAACTCAAAAACCAAACTGTGCTCTGTTAAACCTACTGTTAATGCTCTATTTATAGTACTCAAATTAAAGTTTTCATTGTATCAGACAATGACAACCAGGGTGTGTGACCAGTCCACGCTTTTGTCTGTCAATCCTCCAATTTACTAGACATATCAGGGCATGAAATCAATTTTTTTTTCTGATAGCCACTTAGCTCCTAAATTCTTCAAAGTGGTAGTCAATTCGAAAAAAGTTGGTTGCCATTTTCAAAGACAAACAAAACTGTTTTTTTTAATGCTGTCAGCATTCTAGATAGACCCTCCAAAATTAAGTTAGTAAAAAGATCTTTAACCTGCAACAAAGTGGACACTTGAATGGAAGATATACAATGCTCAAGCTCACCTAAATCCAAGATGGCATCTAGTTATTGATCAAAATGCATGTGCTACATTTTGGAAACAAACTTAACAAGGAAGTTTGCCACAGATCTATCTTTGCAAATCTTGGTAAAATTTCTGTACCGCCCCATACTATTGTAAAACAAATTTGTTCTCCCAATGGCAATGTATTGTTTTTTTAATTGTTCTCTCTATTAGAGAACTGAATGCATATTAATGTAGTGCAGGGCTGTGTGGAAATTTTACCCAAATCTTTTTAATTCACTGTATCTTTAAGTAGGGTTATGATGAAACATTCTGGTTGCCAATTTGATGACTAATTTTCAGATTTTTGATCACCAAAGTGAAAAATTTAGTTGCATTGGCACCTGTAGAAGACACAATATCATGCCCTGCATATGCCCCACAACATCATTTTAACTCTACCAGAAGGTAGTTGGTTGTGTAAACAAGCAGCCGAATACATTGTTAATTTTAATAGCCCAATAAATCAATAACTCATCAGATTTCAATGATAAACAATACAAATATATTGCCTGAGTCTTACTGTGAGGTCTATTATCTAAAGCTGACTTAAATAATATCAGAGTTGGTATTCTTTATGATTGTAACTTAGAAAGTTTGAACTGGAATGATCAACAAACCTCTAGGCACTTGTCTTCCCAAGTTTTACTGTGGATATTCATCAGATTCATTCCAGATCCATCACTAAAATCAATTGGTGCATAGTCACCAATCAAAAGACTAGCAGCAAAGCTGCTAACCAGGGAAATTCTCTCACACATGTTGTATGCATCAGGTTTCAACTCATATATCTTGGCAATTTGATTTCCTGTGAAGCGTTCATAAGCCCTTGAGCCTGTAATATCACTAAGTCTTTGTGGGCCACCAACTGCATCCTCTAAGTTTCGGCATTGTTTTCCTGTACTTGAATCCATCCATATGGGAGAGTCCTTGATAGCAAATGAATCCTAGAAATTGAAATTTGATGAGAAAAGAAAACACTTCAAGTGTATGATGTCTCAGGCAAATAATAATCAATTTTTTTTCCTCAGGATTGTGTAGGGAGGTACCATATGACTCTTGATGCTTTGACTTCATGCTACTGGCAGCATGCAGTCAAACATCTGCATTTCTAATCAAAACTCTGCATATTTCTAGACAAGCAATGACAATTAACAAAGTTAACTATACAAACAGACACTAGAATATGGCAACAATAATACTGTTTCCTCTTAGTGGTGAAATTTAGAGGGAAACATAATTACCTACAAATAAACTAATCATCTGTTACAAAATAAATTCGCTAGGTGTATTGCTTTTCAACTTATATGTCACACTTTCAGTTTAAGTATTTAAAAAGCCCTGAGAACATGAGAACCATCATCATAAGAAGACCTTTAAGGTGACAGGATTGGCTTTCTCAATTCACAAAGGAAAATGATTCAGTGATCAGTTCAACAACAATACTCTGGGCACCTGAAGACAGGCACATGCATTGTAAGCCTGAGAACATAAGGCAGTATTCTATTGGAGAAACTGAAAAAGGAGACTTAAACCACTCCATGGACATAATCCAAAAACTGGCTGAGGCTTATAACAGTGGAATACCTTTGCCACCATCTTGCATTCCAGTGGGTACTCATAATGATAGTGAGTGAGAGAGTAAATGAGTGAATAAGTCAGTGACTTATTGAATTGGAACCATTTAACCCTGTAATGAACTTGCATCCCATTAAAGGAAGAAGTCCTCTGCTATCCAACAAACTTCCAGGTGGACAAAGCCACTGTGAGAGTTAACCCTTTAACTCCCAGATCAAATTTGTAATTCTCCTTTCTGTCAACCATACAATTCTTATCATGTTAGTTCAGAGAATTTAGTGTTGGATCAACTAGTTATCCACAAATTGATATTTTTCTTTATTCTCAACACTTATCTGGTTGATATTGTATTGACTTTGTAAGGAGAAATTCGGTCTTGGTCACCCATGGGAGTGAAAGAGTTAAGTGTCTTGCCCCAACATTTAACTCAATGATCCGCCCTGAGCATAAACTCAGTCCATTCATTGAGGAATCCAGCCCTCCAACCACCACAACAGTGCAGCATATCTCATAAATTTGTCACAACCATCACTATTTAATTTATCAAAATTAAAAAAAGGGGCAATGTTCGGAAGGAACAGGATAAAGTGAGTGCTCCAACCATACATAGGTGCACACCCTGTACCTGGAATTGGTCATAAAGAGATTTTCCACTTTGCAAGTTTTTCAATGTCTCTCTTGCTCCATTTTTCCAATAAACACTGCCATGTTGTTGTCCTGTTCCAGAAACACAAGCAATAGCTCCGAATTCCAGACCATTTTCTTTCAGTCTTTTTAAAACAAGGTCAAACGCTTTCACCCACAATAACGTTGGCGCTGTAACAGTTAGCTTATCCTTGTGTTGATGAACGCCGCCCTGCGTTTTAAATTCCGGAAAATCGTTATCGAAGTGCACGGAAGCCTCTGTCACAACTTTAAGATCTTTGTCGATAACTAGTGCTTTCAACTGCTGCGTACTTGAATCAAATCCCATAAAGAGGGGAGCAGCCATTTTGTTTCCTTCCGGAACTGGTTGTTCGCAAATAGTCGGTAAATAATCGTAAATGAGATTCCAGGGCATGCGCGTTACTTCTGATGACCGCGTGCGCTGCCATTTTGAAGCGTTCAGTCAATGTTTGGTGGCTGTCTAACGATCCTTTGCAGTTTTGCCTCAACAGTCGACCGATGCCTACTAAACTATTTGTAGGGAACATCTCAGAATCATGCAGTGAAGACGATCTTAAGGAAGCCTTCGAAAAATACGGTACCATTGTGGAGCATGCAATAGTTCGAAATTATGCATTTGTGCATTTTGAGAATAAAGAGGACGCCGAAAATGCGATAAAAGAGCTACATGAAACGGAGCTGAAAGGCAATGTTATTAGAGTATTAATGTCAACCACTCCACATAAGAAGGGCAGGGGAGGTGGAGAAGGAAGAAGTCCGTACCCAAGAGACAGAGCACCGGGGAATTCTCGAGGTCCTCCTCGAGGTGGAGGCGGCGGTGGTTACTACCCTCCCGAAAGAAGCCGCTATCATCCATACTACGATCGCGAGTACTACAGACAAGCACCCTATCCTTCGTCATACAGTCGAAGTTCTTATGGATATTACAGTACATACGACAGTGATTACAGGGACTATCAGCGGTCTTATCCGCCTTCATCATATTATTATGGAGACAGTAGATTTGGCGGGCCTGTTACTTACCCGGACACATCGAAGAGGCAATCGTGGGATCGTTAGCAACGTAACTTGGTTACAGTGTCCTTTTCTTAAAAAAGGGAAAAAAAACCAATGGAGGTCAGTTTGTCCTTGGGCATAAAAAAAGTGCTGTTTTTTGGATTGTAAGGTGCTTTTTTTTTACTTTTGTCTATACACAAGAATGCATGCTGTATACCATAGGAATCGTTCAGACAGGATAAGTGGAAAATCATTATTTGTAATAAATTATACCTACAGAGATGGTCAGCAGAGATCCTGGTGACTCTGATGGCCGTACTTCTTTTAGGCTGTTATCTTTTCTGTGTATACTTGTTCAACTGCCCACTAATTATGTTTATACTTTTATTTAGTTTTGTAAGTGAAGATACAACCATCCCAGAATTAATAATTACACGTCTTTGCCTTCACCATATGGCAACCTTAATCCTAAGCATATTGCAGGATAGGGAAAGTCCTTGATATCCAATGACATACAGGCTGTTTGTTTTTGTAATATGCAAACTTGAGACAAATAGCAAAGTTGAATCTTTTCCACTTGTGCTCACTAGACTTTGTTTTGTTTGTTAACCCTTTAACTCCCAGATCAAATTTGTAATTCTTCTTACTGTCAACCATACAATTCTTTCAATGTTAGTACAGAGAATTTAGTATTTGATCTGCAAATAATCCCCAAATTGATATTTTTCTTTATTCTCATTTATCTGGTTGAAATTGTATTGACATTGTAAGGAGAAATTCTGTCCTGGTCACTTACGGGAGTTAAAGGTTTAATTGTGAACATTCTGTGTTGTGTTTTATCAACATTAGGATAAATTCTTCTATATTGTTAGGCCAACCTCATTAAATATTTTCACCTCCCATTGCCTGGCTGATCCATCTGTTTTTAAGAAAGAATCAAAAAGGAAAAGAAAAAAAAAAGAATTCCATTTGTATTGACTAACTTGCCAAATTTTCTAAAGTAGATTCTCAATTTAATCAAGCCTTTAAATCAGAAACTTTTGAGTTAGGAAAGCAATTTGAAGGGGGCAGCACCCATATTTTTCTTTTCCAGGACCCACTGACCTACTTTCTTTATGAGGATGGGCTAATTATTCCCTGGCTTTCCTTATTTTCCATACAATGTTGATTGTGGTTGGCTGTCAGAGATTTAACTGGAAGGAAAACTATTATTTGTGAAAACTTTTCTAGTTCTTTTATCTCTTCAAGATTCACACCATGTAGTTGACATAATTTGAGATTAGTTCTGTTCCAATAGTTTGTGAAATTGTATAGTTCTTTCCTGTTGAAATCTAAGTACTCAAGGTATCCTGCAAAGGGGCTTTGTCCAAGTAGATGCTAGGAACTGTTAAAACTTTTAACTTATATTACAAACATTTCTCAGTTAATCTCTAAATAAAATAGGAAAAAATGTGGTGAAACCCCTGCTTTGTTGATTGTAACAACGGTATTCCCACATTTTAATATTCTTATTTTCCATACTGTTATCCCTTTAAGAGCGCTTGTCTGTAAAAATCAGACAAATTCCAAATTTCGCGGCAAGGGTGAAAAATTCGATTTCTTTCTTATTTTAATATTAGATAGGCTAGACTATAACTAAAATCACTGGATACTTTTTTTAGCAAAATATCTTTTTATTTCAGAGAAAATACAAATAACAAAATTCCGTTAAAATCGTCATTTTTAGAAGCAAATTATTGCACAAGTTTGAGGGCTTCGCATTCAAAAACGAATCACAATCTCGTCTTTTCAACACTCAAATCTTCTTTTTCAACCTCATAAGACCTCACAAAACGATTTTTGTATACACTGCGTTCCTCTTTGCGTGTAAAATAATTTAATTTCAAAAGCATACATTTCTCTTCAGTAGAAGTACTTTGTGAGCAAAGTTAATTTTCAGCATGTGCTAAACCTTCAAATGGATTAAGCTTTGGGCAGTAGAATAACGAAAAGATGTTCTCAATATTACTGTAAAAATTTCTTTGGGCAAACGATTGAGAGCGATACGAAAGCTTTTCAAAGTCTGTTAAAATGCAGTTATTTGAC